TTGAGTTGTCAATCATGAATACAGTCACAATTGAAGACTCGAATTTCGTGCAAAATAAAATAAAATAAAAAGTATACGGTCCGTTGGAGGTTCGTCGTGTATGTAGAAGGCTGGCTAGATGCTAGCGTGATGTCTCACTCGTATGTATGTGTGTGTGTATGTGTGTGTGTGACGTAGCGGGCTAGAGGGCGTGTGCGTCGACCCCGCCTCAAACCAAATATAATACAACGAGAGCACGCGCGTGCGTGCTCTCTCTCTTTCTCTCTCAAATAAAAAAAAACACGGGATAAAAACTTTAAAATTATATCTACTAGAGTCGTGCGAACAACTCGCGTCAAATAAAAATATTCACCGTAATTACGGTGATGTCATAATGTAAAGTCGGTATAGAGAAGACAATTGATAATTAGGCCTGCATAATTGTACAATTTCCCCGCGCGCTAAACCGCGTCTATATATGTATGTACAGCATGATACCCGCCGACCGCGCACGTGACAACGACGATGACGTCGACATGACGTAAGCTCGGGCAGCCGTCATCAAGCAGCCGCCGCTTACTAACGCAGCCGATAATGTGAACGTTCGGCGGAATCTGACGTTCTTCGCGTCATCAGAGCTGTCGACGCGGCCCGGATGTTAGCGTGAACAATAGAACAGCGCTCAGCTCGCCAGGCAGACAATAGAACATCGTAGCGGTGCTACATGTAAACGAAGGAAATCAGAGCTCTGACGCGAAGCCGTCCGGATCCGTGTTTGCGACATTAATCCGCTGCGTTAGATCCGCTACTACGATCCGTATCCAAGATTCCCGCGCATGCGTAAGTTAATCATAATTATCACAGTATTGTCGTAATTATACGAGCGTTTACAGAGAGAGGGGGAGAGGGAGAGAGAGAGGGAGAGAGGAGGGAGAGAATCTGTGCATCTCTCCATCTCTCTTTCTCTGTCTCTCTTTCTCTTTCTCTGTCTCTCTTTCTCTGTCTCTCTCACCGGGCGAGAGCGGTAATGGTATCGTATCAGTATAATCATCTGAAGTGTCGTATATATCTATGAAGCTGGCCCGGGTAGAGAGAGAGACTTTATTCTACATCTCGCTACGCGCACACACACTCATACACGTACACGTACACGTACACGTGCGTGCGTGCGTGCTTGTATGTGTGCGCGTGCGCGTGTGATACGCGGGGAATCTTGAATAGCAGATCGCGATAGAAATTAATCAAACCCGGTGACGTTGATGACGTGTGCTGCTTCTCCGCTGCTCACTGCTGCTGCTGCTGCTGATGATGATGATGCTGATGCTGATGATGCTGCTGCTGGTGGTGATGCTGCTGATGCTGATGCTGATGCTGATGCTGATGCTGATGCTGATCGTGATGATGCTGATACTGATGATGATGATGCTGATGATGATGATGCTGATGCTGATGATGCTGCTGCTGGTGGTGATGCTGCTGATGCTGATGCTGATGCTGATGCTGATGCTGCTGCTGCTGCTGATGCTGCTGATGATGATGCTGCTGTTGCTGATGATGCTGCTGATGCTGCTGCTGCTGCTGCTGATGCGGCTGCTGATGATGTTACTGCTGCTGTTGTTGCCACGCAGCATCTTGCGTGCAGGGTCTCCATGCATCATGGCTTCACCTCACAGCATCGCAGCATCCTTCTCCGCATCCTCCGCCGCTCCCATACTCCGTTGACCTGGTGTGACGTCGTGACGTCACACCGGGGGTGTCTGACGTCACGGCTGTTAGAGGCTGGGTGGTAGTAGCAGCATGCATGGTGTCGTAGATGATGGCATGTGTACGTAGGTATAGCTGATCAGCTACATGATGGTAGGTACGGTACACTGCTCAGCTGTTCATGCACGCTGTTGTGGTGGTTATACACAGCGAGATGGAGATCCTCTCTATGTGCCACGCGGGGGCGGTGGTAGCAGTGGTAGCTTCCTCTATATTTGCGGGGTCGCGGCGGCGGCAGCGGCGGCGGCGGCGGCAGCGGCGTTGGTATATCGGCTGAGACTCCGCCTGTATTTGCCGTGCCAGTCGATCGAACGTGTCGTAATGCAGCGGCAGCGGCAGCGGCGGGGCTGGAGGCCGTCAGCTCTAACCTCGCCGTGTCCGTGCGTGCGTGCGTGCACGTGCGTGCGTGCGTGCGTCCGTGCGCGTGTTGACATTGCCGCGCCTCGCTGCGGGCGCGTACAATGTAACCGGTCGGTGCTACGCTTTGCTAGTGGCTTTCATCGGCGGATAATACTCCTATAGTGCGTCGGCCACTCGCACGCACGTCGCTAAAGCCCGTCCTCGATTCACGCGTGATGGCTATAGCTTCTTCAGGACGCTGTGTAAATAGCACGTCGCTTGAATTGGCCCGGGCGGCGGCGGCGGCGGCGGCCAGGCGATTGTCTGCCGCGATACGTCTCGGATATAATTAAGTTTGAAGTGCAAATATGTTTGTGACGGGAGTTGAGAGAGAGAGAGAGAGAGAGAGAGGGAGAGGGGGAGGCAGCGAGCGACAGAGCGGTACGGCTCCCACGACGTGCGTGTGTGTTGTCGGCAAACCTGTTTCTGCTGCTGCCGTGATACGGGTGCTCGTCTCTGGCCGCACTCTCCGCGGCCGTAAGATGAGCGGGGATGAGTCACAGCTGATGTAAGATCCCGCGGAATAGCGGGAGGAGGGGAGGAGGGAGGAGGGAAGGTACGGTGATGTCATCACAGGTGAAGCCACACAGCTCCGTAACATCCGCACTGACGATTCCTCAGCCTCTTCCTCATCCGCATCCTCATCCTCTCAACCCCCGGGCTGGAGGGAGAGCTCCCGCTGCTGCTGCTACTACCGGTAGTGGTGGTGGTGATGGTGGTGGTGATGGTGGTGGTGGGAAGTCACTGTCTCTCGCTGATGTTGCTGCTGCTGCTGCTGCTGCTGGTGGTGATGGTGATGGTGATGGTGCTGCTGCTGCTGCTGGTGCTGCTGCTGCTGGTGCTGGTGGTGGTGGTTGGTGTTGTTGGGAGGCGGAGAATGTCGTGTTAGCGAGGGCGTGACCGCCTGGTTCGTCGCTACGACACTAGCTGCTGCTGTGTGAAACACCGCGCTATCTCCGATCACCTGCATTCGTCATCGCTACGCTCAGAGCTGTTCCTTCAGGTGTGATCTCAGGTTAATTACAATCAGTCAGGTGTGATATCGCGTTGATTACTTTCATACAGGTGCGCGTGTATATTAGCAGGTGAGTGGCTGGATGCCTCAGCGTCCGTGCTCGGTCGCTGAGTTGTCTAACGTTGCTCTCTCATCTTCACGTGAGGCGGGCTCAGGTAAGTTCATGTTGGCGCTCGCACGGGGTGGGCGTGCTCAGGTATGTTCATGTTGGCGCTCGCACGGGGCGGGCGGTTCGGCAGGCAGGCAGGCAGGCAGCTGTCTCCACGGCAACGTAACGCATGTGAGGCGGGCGCGTATCTTTGGTGCATAAGTTGAGCAGTGAAACAATCGCAAAGCTTCTCTTTCTCTCGGCAGCGTCATCGTTGGCGTCATCGCTGTGGTTACACTTGGCTATGCAGGCGGGGCGGCGGTGGTAGCGGCGGCGGGGCGTCGTCTTCTTCGTTAGAATGTCTTCTTTACGGCACGCGGCTCAAGTTTCTCTTTACATTGAACACAGAATAAACATAAACCATCGATGATGGATCTTCACTCGGTTAAAACACGCACAACAGCAAAAACAACAGCAAGTATAGTCCTCTATATATCTGAATCATCGTCATCGTCGTCTGCTTCTCTGCCGTCGGCGTTACCATATGTACAGCACACACACACACACACAACAAACATGCCGCGTTATCTACAAGTTCCGTTTGTGTGTTCCTGTGTGTTCGTGTGTGTATTTGTGTGTGTGTGATAAGGTCCTAGGTGTGTGTGAGTGTGTGTATCTGTATGTAATAAGGTCCTAGGTGTGTATGTTAGCGTATATTTGATTGTGTGTGATAAGGTCCTAGCTGTGAGTGATCAGCATGTTGTGTATATGTATGTGTATGAGTGAGTGAGTATGTGTATGTGTATGTGTATGTGTATGTGTATGAGTGAGTGAGGCGACGCTCGGCTTTATAGGCGAGGCGTTGCCGTGACGGCAGGCAGAGCTGTCGGCGATCCCGTGCCGTGACCGTAATGATCCTCCGGCTTGACCAACACGTACGCCACCGGACGCCGGATGTCCTGCTGCGCCGCCGCGACGGCAGCCGACGTCAGGTATCCGGGCGGACACCCGTTACACGGTACCATGTATTGCCCCGGCATGTGGCTGTGCGGCATGCAGGCGCCGCCCGTACTGAACGGTGAGTGAGAAGGGTAGAGCGTCGGATACATGCTCTGCGGGACGTCGGCAGGCCGCAGTGACGTCATCTCGCCTAGCTTAGCGGCGGCGAACGCCTCGGCGGAGAAGTGCGGGTAGCCGTAAAACGCGGGGTTGCTCATGACGGACGTCGCCAGCGCCGCACGCGCTTTCTCCGTCGTCAGCGAGTCGATGCCGCCTCCCGCCGACGTACACATGCTGATGGACGTCGGCAGCGACGTCTGCGGAAAGTTGTGGAAGGCTCGCGGTAGTGCTGCCGTTAGGTAGTCGGCGTTAGATAGCGACGGGATCGACTGCATGCCCGGATACCTGGTGATGGTCAGTGGCTTCTTGGGTTTCCTGCGCGGTCTGTACTTGTAGTCAGGGTGATCTTTCATGTGCAGTGCGCGCAGTCGCTTCGCCTCGTCTATGAAAGGTCGCTTCTCAGCCTCCGATATGCCAGCCTTCCTTCTCGCGCCAAGTCGCTACTGAATCTCCTGATTGTGCATTCTTAGGGTTCTCCTGCGCCAAATCTCCTGCCCCCTGACACAGAGCGCGACCACCACCATGAAAGGCGTCATCGGCGCTTGATGTGCTGCCTGCGACCACCCCTGCCCACTCCCCCGCGCCAGCCGCTGCCGCTCCCGCCTGCTTGGTGAATGTTAGCTCGACGAATGAGCTGGTCAATATGTGTTCGTCCTACCGCTCGTCGCGCACGTCTAGCTTCCAGATCGAAACGAGTTCATTAAAATGTGTGCAGTAGCGTACCGTAGGTTGTCCGCCGCTAGTAACTCTCTGCGTAGATTTCTCAAGCCGCCTGCCTGCCGGCCGTCACTGCGCTAGCTGCGCCGCCAGTCGCCTTCCTCTCTCGTTCTGCCGCTACCGCCGTATCCTGAAACACCGCGCGGCACTAGACAGACACAGGCATCAACGACGTGAGAGTGAGTTAGAGAGACGCACACACAGAATGATGCACACACACACACGCACTGTTGCTGCTGCTGCTGCCTCGGCCCCGTAGCCGTGGCTTTACTGCTCGCTCGCCGTCGAGAGTGTTCACACGCTGTTAAACAAGTAAGCATCGTCGCCGCACCGCCGCCGCGGCTCACACAGCCGCAATCACACGCCGACCAATCACAGCCGCTCTGATGTAATTGTCAGCGCGCGCTCATTGGTCGATCATTTAACATCGGCGCGCGCGATGATTGGCTGCCGTTTGTCATGTGGAGCTCGGTGGGCGGGGCGACCGTTGGCAAAGATGGAGAGAGAGAGAGCGAGAGAGAGATGTAGATGGAGAGCGTAGTTTACACGGCATGTGCACACACACACCGCTGCGCGGAATTGTATTATTGTTGATTTTAGACGCAAGCTATGTAGTTAGGTGCGATAGTTACTGGCTGAGTTACAGCTGTAAAGTGGAAGCACCATTATTTGTCGATAATAGGGGCTGCATGCGCTTTGTCAGCCCGCCTATCTATATATATGATGTAATCAGGCATGCGCGCGTGCACGTGGCGTGTGCGTGCGTGCGTACGCGCATATATTCTTGTGGGGGTACGTGCGCGCGCGTGCACGTGGTGTGTGAGTGCGTGCATGCGCGCGTATATTTTTTTTGGGGGGGGGTACGTGCGCGCGTGCGGGTGCGCGCGTGCACGTGGTGTGTGCGTGCGTGCGTGCGCGCGTATATTCTTGCGGGGGTACGTGCGGGCGCGCGTGTGTATGAGAGGGGGGGGGGGCGAATGCGCGAGTTTGTGCGCGTGTGCGTGCATGGGTGTGTGTGCGTGCGGTGGTAGCAATGTAGCTACATACGCACTACGGTATATGTTTGCAGGCACAGACATACATGAAGGGGATGTTGTTGGGGTAAGCTGTTGGTTTATAAGGTAAGGTGGGAGGTATAACTAGATTGAGGGTCTGAATTGGAAACGGGTGAAGAGGAGATATAGCAAGGGGAGGGAGAGGTAGAAGGGGGAAGGAGAGATATGGTGAAGGGAGAGGGAGAGGTAGAAGGGGGAAGGAGAGATATGGTGAAGGGAGAGGGAGACAGATAACGAGACGGACGGAGGGAATGAGAAGGGATAGAGTGGGAGGAGGAAGAGGAGGCGAGGTAGATGAATGGGGGCGGTGGGAGAAGGGGTGGGGTAGATAGGAGAAGGGGAGAGGTAGGAGAAAGGAAGGGGTAGGAGAAGAGAAGGGATATGTATGGTTGTGTGTGTGTGCGTGCGTGCGTATGCGTGTGTGTGCGTGCATGTTACATGTGTATGTGTATTTCTATATGACATGGTTAAGCTTAACCTAGCCATGTAGCTCTCTCTCTCTCTCTCCATGTGCGCGAATTAAAGAAGGAACGAAGAGACGAAAAATATAGTGAAATAACGAAGGAATGAATGAGTGAATGAATGAATGAATGTCGGCGAGGGAAAAGAAGGAAAGAGAGAGAGAGAGAGAGAGAGAGAGAGAGAGAGAGAGAAAGAGAGAGAGAGAGAG